GCAAATAAAATATAACTAAGGAGAAACAATGTAGAGCAGACTATAGGTTAGAGAAAATTATCAGAGAAAACTGAGTTGTGGAGAAATAAAATATAAGTAAATAAAGGAGAGTACATATAGAACATACAGGAAGTCTAACCTAGATTAATTTTAGAGTACCTAGGTACTCAAGTGGGGAGCCCGTGTCCATGTGCAGATGGGCTAGATGTCATCTGACATCATGGAGACAAGAAACACTGACCTGATACTACTCATCAAACTTGCCTGGAAAAGACTGCAAAATTAAGACATGATATATAAATGGAAGGAAATCAACCTGGACTGGGATGTGGATTTTGACATTGAGGGCTTGGTGCTTGACTGTGAACTATTTGGGAATCCTGCCATTCTGCCTTATTCTCTCTTTTACTGCTTTAGTGTGAGAAATCATTAGTTGAATGTGCCTGTGTAACTAAAGTCAGATAACATCCAAATATCAAATTTGTCTTCCTCTGTCAAACCTTAACGGAAAGTTATGTGAAGCTTACATTTTCTTTTAAAATGTCCTTGAAAAAAATTGAATGCCTATGGATTAATAAAACTTATCAGGAAAAAGAAATAAAGAAATGCCCATGCCAAAATTGGTTATTGTAATCTCACATAGATGAGACATGAATGCCCATCATAAAAATAACCTCCTCTTTGATTTTTAAAAAGCATTATTGCTTTTGCTTTTTAAATAACATAAATTCACTGGGAATTTTTTTTAAAATATAACAAAGAGACAAAATTCATCTTCTCTTCTTCTACCTAATGGTAACTACTAATATTTTGGTCTGTATCTTTCTATAGTTTTTCCTATGGTGTTTTAGATATGTGTTTCATTATTTTGGAGACGAATGATAAAAGAAGGGCTAGGCCTGCTGCCCATGTTATGTTATATTTTATTCATACATTTACTCCCTAATTCATTCAATAATATTAAGCACTTCCTTTGTGCCATGTCCTGCATTGGGGACTGTCATTATGTAGGCATGAGGATTCCCCTCTGCCCCCATGTGGTGCTGCTGATGTTACTAAAAAGAGAAAGACAGGGCCTGAGGCAGGAGCAATTTTTGTTACCTACATATGACCTTATGGAGAACCAAGGTGTGTAGGGTCTCAGTGGACCAGCTAGAGGGAGCAGCTTCTACCTACTGGATGGAAGGGTAGAAGTAAACTAGAGTCAGTTTACCTATTCACTTGTAGGCTCCCTGGCCTCACAATCTGAGGAAAAGATTAATGGCTAATAAAATAATAGCTAGCTATTTATTGAGTATTGTATTCCAAATAGTGTACTCTATGCATAAGTCATTTCATTGAACTCTCACATAAATTCTGTAAATTAATAACCAGCACTTTCTGAATACTTATTATGTGTCAGGCACTGTTAAAAAATGTTATATGCAGTCAAGAATTGAATCCTTAGCAGCCGGGTGCAGTGAAACATGCCTGTAATCCTAGAAACTCAGAAGACTGAGACAAGGGGAACACAGTTTTGAGACCAGTGTTAATGAGACCCTGTCTCAAAAGAAGTAAAAATAAAGTGGCTGGGGATGTATGTAGTTCAGTGGTAAAGCTCTCCTGGGTTCAGTCCCCAGTACTGCAGAAGAAAAAGTTAATAAAAAAAAGAATTGACTCCTGAGGACAAACCTGAGATGAGTTCTCATATAATCCCCTTTATTGATGAGGAAACTAAGTTCAGAGAGATTTGTTCAAGTGACAGAGCCAGTGATTCCAAAGCCTTTACTTATGTTTTCACCCATGATCTAAATCCCCATATGTCACCAAATTCAATTCTGAAATTTTGAGTGTTACTTCCTGGGCACTTCTACATCAAAGCCAGTGCAAGAAAATATTTACATTTTTTTATATTTTAAATTAATCTTAAAAAATGATTAAGATATTTTTTGGGGCAGAGATTTTTTGGAGCTGATTTTTTTTTGGGGGGGGGAAGAGACTTCCCTCATTTCTTTGGCAACCAATAATCTCTTCTTATTATATGAGTGTTTAATGTGGTAAAATAATATATAACATAAAATTTCCATTTTAATAGTTCAGTAGCATTAAGTATGTTCCCATTGTGCCACCATCGTCACCATCCATCTGCAAACTTTCTCATCATCCCAAACTGTATGTAATAAACAATAACTCCATATTCCCCCAACCACTATTGTTTTTAAAGGAGATAGGTAATTATGTTAAGCTTTATTTTTCTTTATGTGAATGAGCACATAATTGTTTTAGTGATCTGCAGGAGAGGGCTATTTGTTAATATGATGGCAAATGCAGCACCTACTGACAAAGGTGTATAATTTGTAAAATAGCTGAGTGGGCAAAATTCTGATTTTCAGTTGCCCTAGGCACTTCAGTGCACTTCTGATAATGATTTTCCTTGGGCATGTAGTTATACTGATAGAAATCACATCCATGCATAAAGAGTGAGCTTAATTATACATAACTACATACCTAATATGAGGTTTTACATTTTTTTAAATATACCTTCTGATTTACAAAAGATGAGATACTCAAATCTAACTGATCTCAAGAAAGCAGCTTCTGAGTGTGAAAGTCTTATTATTATCTTTTTTTTTTTTTACAAAAAGACACTATTTTGCCTTCCCTTCTCTCTTCTGGGAATTGTTTTCATTACATGTGATTCCATAATCTCCTGTGGTCACTGCTGTGACTCCAAGGTCAGGCAAATGCACAAAAGCTGATTTAGAGTTTTGGGTGAAGTTGGTGGTAGAGGAAAATTAACATTCCCACTGAGAATGAAATTTCTTCACATTCTCAAATTATTTGTACTGAGCCCAATCACTTGAGTTCAAAATAATAATAATAAAAGTAACCAAAATGGTTTGGATGCTGAGGTATCCAATGTCCCAGCCACTTGTGTTAAATGCTTTACATGTATTATTTAATCCTTAATTCTGTGAGATTAGAACCAAATTTCCATTTTTATAGATGGGAAAACCAAGGAACAGAAAATTTATATAATTTACCAAAAATGCCCAGTTAACAAGTAACAGACTGAGGATTCAAATCCAGGCAGTCTAGAGCCCTTGCTCCTAGCTTCTCCATTAACACATGCTCCTACTCTGTCAGGCTTGACAGCAACATACCCTGGCAAGAGTGCCAGGGTTAAATCAAAAACTAGTTCTCAAACCCACAGCACCCTTGAGCCCCTCCCTGGCTGAGGTGAGTGTCTTGACTCAGAACCAGGCATCAGGTCTGGAGGTAGAATCTTTGCAGCGAGGGAAGGAGAACAGAAAGACAAAGATCTCCTTCAGACTGCCATTTGTATCTGGTTGGTGAGAGAAGAAGGGGGGAAGACACCACATGTACCTTCCCAGAGGAGTCTGGTTATTCTTTGTGCTGTTCTTTCTGGTTTTGTGCCCCTTTGCCCAGATCTCATACTTGCTGTCCCTGTCTTAGAACTGCTTTCTCTCTCTCTCTCTCTCTTTGTTTTAAATGCTTTCTCTCTTGAGGGAACTCCTTCTCCAGAACCTGACAGTCTGAATTACTTACACCTTTCTAGTCTTCTTGAGGACTTGTACCTCTGTACTGAGTAGAACAGACTTTCATGGGTTGTGAAGACTTAAGATCCTCAAAAATATTTCTACCTGCAGGTTGAAAGTTCTTGTTCCTAAAACATCTGTTTAACCCATGAACATTATGAAGACTACTTGCACACACATTCTTTGGGGCTAGGAACATCAGGAAATGTCCTATCAGGAAAGGTAGGCTTAAACAAATGGATGCTAAGGAAAGAATGACTCCTCCCCCTTATACTCCCTAATTCTCCCAGGAACTCGGCCATAGCATTCTTTCTGAAAGAAGTTTTCAGGCAAAGGAGCCCTAAGTGAGGCATTTCTGGACAGCAAGGAGTATTGATGGATTGGCCTGAAACTGAGGCAGCTCAGCCTCCTGCATCCTAGGGATTGCTCTTGGTGACCCAGGAGCTTTCAGAGGGACCTGAGCCACCCAGTCTCTGATGAGGGCCAGAAATGCTCTTGCTCATGATTTGTTACTCATGGAGTACAATCACACACAACTTAAAGTGAGCAGAGGTGACATTTCCTTAGCTTTTTCACTGCTGTGACCAAAAGACCTAACGAGAATAATTTTAAGGAGGAAAAGTTTATTTGGGGGCTCATAGTTTCAGAGGTCTCAGTCCATAGATGTCCAACTTCATTGCTCTGGGCTGGAGGGAAGGCAGAATATTATGGTAGAAGGGTGTGTCAGAGGAAAGCAACTGGAACGTTGCACCAGGAAGCAGAGAGAGAGAGGCAGAGAGAGAGAGAGAGAGAGAGAGAGAGAGAGAGAGAGAGAGAGCCCAAAGGCATGCCCCCAGGAACCCATCTTCTCTAGCCCCACCCCACCTGCATTACCTCAGTTAATCCCTTTGTACTGAATGGGATAAGATTCTGATGATCCAATATTTTATCTCTAAACTTTTTTGCATTGTCTCACACATGAGCTTTGGGGAACACCTCACATTCAAACCGTAGTAGGCCTATTTAAAATGATGTCATAAAGGGCTGGGGTTGTGGCTCAGTGGTAGAGTGCTTGCCTAGCACATGCGAGGCCCTGGGTTTCATCCTCAGGACTACAGAAAAAAATAAATAAATAAAATAAAGGTATTGTGTTCAACTAAAAAATAAGTATTAAAAACTTATGTCCTAAATAAAAATATAAAAGACTGGATTTAGGACAGATTCCTAAAAGGTACCAGCTAAGACTATGCCAGAAATACTCTTTCACTTCCACCACACTCTTCTTTCTTGCCCACATTTACACCATTGTTAAGGCAACACAGGGTCCACTGTCTGTGTCCTTAACCTACTCTGAAAGCACTGCCCCTTTTGGTCATTACCCTCAAAGCCACTGTCTACATCAGAGTGATAGGAGTTTTCAAATTAAACCAACCCAAAGGCAACCAGTATTAATCTCTTTTCTTTATTTTGTTTTAATGATAGCCACTTGGAGCCAGTGACTATTTGGAACTATCTAGGAATTTTGACACAGTATTTTTACGAAACATTCCACAATTTTCGCTGGCAAAGAGGACTCAAGCTCGAAGATTCATAACTCTCATCGATAACTTTTATGATTTCAAGGTAAGGCTGTAATACATTTTCTCAAAACTGCACATTTTGGATTGCAAAACCAGGTGACCAGGATTCCTGGCCTGGAATCCTGGCTCTACCACTTACTTCTTCTCTCTCTGCCACAGCTTCCTCATCTACAAATCAGGCCTGTAATAGTATTTATTTCAGAGTGTTGCCATGAGGACTGAAAAGGCTAATCCATTTAAGGTGTTTGAAACAACACTTGGCCAAGGCTGAGTGGTGTACAAGTACCATTAGTAGCAGTAGCAGTTTTACAGTCAGACTCCCATCACAATTACTCTGCTGCGTTAATGGTTCCATCCTTCTACCAGAAGGATCACATGCACCATCTATGATTATCAACACAATGCTTGGCCCAGACCAAGTGTTTAATAAATACGTGTGGCCTGAATAAATGGTTGGCTGGTAGAAAAATGAATGAACAATATTAGAATTCTCTTGCCCTATGACCCAGAAACCCCGATAACTAGCATTATACCATTGTGTTGTTTGTTGGGACCCGTGTGTTTCCACCTGGATTGCAGAACCACTGCTCATTCATGAAAGGCATTGTAGCCTGGTGGTAAAAGAGTGCATGCTGGAGCCAGGCTGTCTGTCCTGAAGACTGGGTTAGCCTCTCTGAGCTTCAGTTGCCTTCTCCAGAAGAACAGGATACTCAAAGAATTTTGTGAGGGTGAAATGAGTATGTAAGGTAGTAAGAACATTGTCTGGCATATAGTGAACTCTTAGTAAAGGTGAGCCACGATTAATAGTATACAGCTGTAAATATATATTGTCAATAAAGATATGTGTATGATGTTAAATTAGAGTTCATTTAAACATGGTTTTACTCCCTATTCCTTGTACAGAATTAAATAGAGCAGTAATTATAAGATCAAGGGGACTTGGGGGAAGACAAAAAAACAGAATATGCTGCAAGGGTGAGGTGAGGCTTCAATATTTTATTTTCTCATTCATTCAATAACCTTTATCATGCCAGACACAGTGCTCAGTACTAGAAATTTGGGAGTAAGTGACATTAGCCGTCACAGCACCTGCCTTCTTGGAGCTTTTAGTTGTGTCAGAGACCTGTGACTCACATGGCCACAGAAGTCCATGTTCAGTCACCACTGCAGGGTGACTTTTTGGACATTATGGTACTGAGAGTCTGGGGAAAGCACAGGGATCTGAAAGGGGTAGGTGAGGGTGGCACAGGGAAATCTTCTAAGGACCATCTTCATTAGAATCGTCCAGGCTACTTAAAATCCAGATTCTAGAGCTCACTCCATCAAATGAGGACCCAGCATGGGACCTGGAACAGGGGTTTTATATAAATGCTAAAAGGAGTGAGGGCTGAACTCCATGCACAGGATGAAAGAGGGTAACTAGGGCAGGGAGTTTGCAGCCAGGGCCCCAGGATGGATGGGCTGAGCACAAAGGGCAGCAACTGCTGCTCATGGACACGCTTGTGGTCAGGAAGTTAGGAGAAGCAGAGGCAAGGTCCTGGAGCTGGGATCAAGGCCCATTGACAATGAGTGTCTGCCTTCTACAGAGACTGCTCCCCACTAATCACAGGGGGTCCAGAGTAAAGAGTATGAGCCTGGAGGTGGCACTGATCTTACAGGCAAAGGCTTCAAGAAGGATATGGTAGGTCGGTCTTAGATTGGAGGATCAAGAATTTTATTATTTTTGTATTTCACCTGGAAATACTTTAAAGAAAGCCTGTGATCCCATCCCTCAGTCCCACCCCACTCCCACTTTTCATTTCTTATTTAAAGATACAAGGATTTTTCTAGCAGTGTAATGGACCACTCTCTAAGTGGTCCATTACACTGTTTTGTTATAACTAAATCACACATTTAGACATTATAATCTTTATAAAATATAGGCCAGGTTATCTTATTTCAGAATTTGAGAGCATTAAACAGATTTTATTCTAGAGTGTATTCATAGAAATTTGTGAAATAAGGATATTGCCATCTAAATAATGGGAAAAAAGTGTCATTTGTAATGAAAAGAATTTATAAGAAGGGGTAGGAGGCTGTTTGGATATGGGAAAACTAGTCTCAAATGTCAACATGTTATTTTAAAATATTGATGTATTTATTTAAATAATGATTTTAAAGGGATAGCTGAAAACAAACCTAGAATTCTTTAAACATCAAGAGGAGTATGTTTTATATTTAAACTAGTAGACAGACATCAGCCCAAAAAATGCACAAAAGATGTACAGCTGTTTCTGGTATCTGATCACATACACATATCTGCTCATTCAAATACTTATGTAATAAAGTAACGTTAATGTAAAGCTTAGTCTTTTTTGAAGAATGTTCTGGCAGGATGTTGATATAAATGTACATTTTGGAAGCTCAGGGTTGAGGACTAACGTGCTGAACTTAACTGTCAGCTGTGCAGCAAAGTGGTAGCTGCTTTACAGTGTGTCCTGGCGCAGATGTGATCAGCAGCAGAGTGTGATGGTCTTGGTCCATTTGCACTACTGTGACAGAATACCGTAGATTAGGTAATTCACAAATAATAGAAATTTGTATCTCACAGTTCTGGAGGTGGGGGTCCAAGATCAAGGCTTGGACAGATCCTTGTGTTGTTCTTGTGACTCTCTCCTGTAGGCCCCAACTCTTAATACTGTGTGGCATTGGGACTAAGTTTCAACATGAATTGGAGGGAACACAAACATTCCAACCATGGCAAAAATGGAAAAAACATCAGATTAGACCCAGAAGATCTGGGCTGATGTCATGAGCTGAGACCTCAGCAGTTCTCAAGTTTCTCACTGAAACGTTTGCTCCTTGGTTCACAGCATGGTATAAGCTCTTTGGAAATATTTTGAAAAGTATTATGCACTTTTAAAATATAATTTAACTACAAAGCACTAGAAAAATTATGGACATTTTCAAAGCAAAGATCCAAGCTTCCTGATGTGACAAACAGATCTTTATTTTGTGAGAGATTTTCCTTACTTTCAACTTGTAAAATATAAAGAGTAACACCATTTACTCATTTTCCTCTATTTCAGGTGCGCATAATTTGCTCCGCAATGACTCCTATATCAAGCTTATTTTTGCATCAACATCATGACAGTGAGTTGGAGCAAAGCAGAATACTGATGGATGATTTGGGACTGAGCCAGGTAGGCAATATTAACATAATCTCTTTTTATTATAAAACAGCTTAATTGTTTTTGGTTTGATACTGGCTACATTTTGAAGAATGCAATATATAGTTAACTATTGATTTGCTGTTTTCTTCTAAAGCCAGTGTAGCAGACTTATTATCATTCTCAATATCACTAATTTACAGTCTTAAAGTACAAGAAACCTTAGTGATTGTGCAGATCAATGCTTCGTTTTGCATTTGGCAAAAATGAAGTCCAGAGAGATAGACTAATGGGCCCGCAGCTACTTTGCTGGATAATGGCAGGCCAGAGGTGGACCCCAGGAAATGGTGTCTGGTTCCAGGCTCATTCTGCTACACCATGTTGCCTTTTCTGGATGTCCTTCTTTGTGATCGCTGGATTCATAGAGTATCACACCAAGAGTGTGGGCTGGCTTGACCAGGATGGTGGAGTGCTCAGCAGGGCTCCAGCTTTAAAAGAAATCTATGATTGGGGCTGGGGTTGTGGCTCAGCGGTAGAGCACTCCCATAGCATGTGCGAGGCCCTGGGTTTAATCCTCTAACTATAACTAAAAAATAAATATTAAAAAAAGAAATCTATGATTATCTCTAGCCTTTATGCAACAAACATTTATGAAGCACCTGTGGGTGCCAGGCTCTGGGGACAACTCTGTAGGGGACAGACTGGTTCTGGCCCAGTTCTTCTGGAACTTAGAGTCTAGATTCACCTCAGGCTAAACACAAGTGACTTTTTCCTCTGTGAAAACATTGCAGGGTATATTTCCCAATTATTGACAACTGAAATTTTAATCAAAATTTAAAGCTATTAACACTCCTTCCAAAGCTAAGGATCCTGTTCTTCCAGCCCCAGAAGTAAAAGCCCATTTGGAGTGAGTAGGCCCATTCCATATTGACCTGAATAGAAATTATGTATTCTCAGGAGTTTGGGACAAAAAAGCCTGTAATTCTTTAAAAAGTGCTTTAAAAAATGTATATTTCTTAGTCTGTTCAAGCTGCTATAACAAAATACCATGAAGTAAGTGGTTTATATACACAGAAATTTATTTCTCACAGAAATTTATTTCTGGAGTCTGGGAAGTTCAAATTCAAGGTACCAGATTTGGTTTTTAGTGAAGACCCATTTCCTGGTTCACAGATCACCATCTTTTTATATGAACCTCCATGGTGGAAGCAGTGAGAGATCTCTCTGGACCCTCTTTTTAAGGTCACTAATCACATTCCTGAAGGTTCTGTCTTTAAGACCTAATCAACTTCTAAAGGCTCTACCCACTAATACCATTATCTTGGGGTGGGGGAAGGGGTAGGATTTCAACATATGAATTTTAGAGGGACACAAATATTTAGATCACAGCAGTGTAGAAATAATTAGCTACTTAAAACCCCCTATGCTGGGACCATTTGAAATGGTTCTTGGAGAACCAAGAACAATACTTACATCCAAATATTGTTATTGTCTTTTAAAGAATATACTTGAGGAATTACATCAAATCATTTCTAAAGTCATTTAATCATAGGCCTTCAAATTTTACCTCCTGGGATCAGGACACCCCAAAGTAAGCTCAGTGCTTGGGGCCAATAATATATGAAGAAATTGGGGAAATGTGACCTCTGGGTCACGAAGGTTCACAGTGGATCAGAGAAGATGGTCCAGAATTTTTCTCTGAAAGAGCATAATAGCAAACCCTAATGAAAGAAAGGAAAATTCAGAGCCACTTAATGGCCATGAGCCCAGATTGGTATCACTGGTTCCAGGCTATTAAAGGGCCTCACAGAGACAGTGTTCCCAACTTAACCCTCAATGAGGGGACCAAGTATCGCAGCAGCTGAGGACTAAAAGCAGCTCTGGTTTTTGCAAAGTCAGATCCCAGGCACATTCTCCAGGACCCAGGACCCAACAAAAGTGTCCAGAGGAGGCAGAGTCATAGACCTGCCTGCTCACCCTGTTTGGAAAAAGCTATTTGTGGCTTGTCCTCAAGGAGCCCCCTTGGGCAGTAGCCTGCCTATGAAGCTTCAGAAGCACATCTCAGCCTCTTCCTAACTTAGCAGAATACTGTTCATGCCATTACTTATTTCTGATGTGCACTTTTGGAAAAAGAATTCCTTTTCTATCTGGAATGTCCCTAGAGGTTTGCAGAGAACTCTCATTCTGAACAAAATCTTTCATATTTGGATTTTCTAGTATTATTTCAGCTTTAATTATTCTTGTAATGTTTTTTGTTTTAAGTTTTTTCCCTGGTAATTTGTTCTGTTTATTACTTATAGGTTTGACTATAGTTGACTCTCTAGTCTAATTTGAAAGATCATATATGGAAAAAATATATTAAAAATTTTTAATCTAAATAGGTTTACCTAAAGTTTTTTAAAACCTGTACTTAGTCCTGTAAATTTCACTTGGGGTGATTTAATTAGTGCTGGGATTTTCTTTATGTGTTTCTTTTTATGACCAGGACTCGGCAGGACTCTCCATGTTTACTGGAGAAGAGGAAATCTTTGCATTTCAGCGCACAATTTCCCGACTCACAGAAATGCAGACTGAACAGTACTGGAATGAAGGGGACAGAAGCAAGAAGTAACTGTCACTTTCACATGAATAAAAYGAGACAAATGGTTAATGCAGAGAGAACTCTGTATTGTGAGACTTGAAGGAATCATTTTCTCATCATTAATTATGCACTTTGTCCTCTGGACCATTTTAATCTAAAATTACTGTCAAAGATTTAGTGGATTAGTAAGTTAAAGACTTACCATTTTCATAGATGTACTTTTTGCCTATTTATGTGGCCTTATTTCTGCACCACAAAATTAAAATCATCACTCCTGAAGATTACTGTAAAAGCAGACATTTTAGCTTCACATTGAATACTTGAATGAACCTTGAATGCATAAATATACAGTAAATGCAAATTGTCTGGATAGCACCAAGCTTTTGTGGCATGGTGATCTCACCTTATGAAAACATCTTTTATAAGAGGGTAAAGTAAAAAATAAACCATTTCAATTCAAAACAAATAAATCCTTCTGATCTTATTATAAATTGAAGGGAATAACGTTTTAGAATATGGGCTATGTGTGTGATTCTTCATAGGTTTTTGTCTTTGAATTATTATCAACCCCCTAGGCCTTCAGGTTTCCTTAATGTCAGAACAAGTGTGACTTTTAACCTGGGGTTAAGGTTGGCAGGCAGGGCCTTGTCTCATGGTGACACAGAGTTGCCTGGACAAAGAGGAGTATGACAGCATCAAGTCAGGAGCAAGTCAGATCCCTGCCCTCACCCCCTGCAGGCAGTGGGAGGGCAGGTACCAGGAAAGGACCAGTGAGAGTATTGGAAGGAGAGTCACAGACATCCCAACAACAGAGCAGACGTCTGCTCATCATTGTCAACAATGCCTTCTTCCACTGTCCATCCACACTGGCTTTCTTTGCAGAATGCCACTCCCCTCGCAGCTGATTCTGCAGAGTTGGACCTAATAGTAAATAGGAAAGAACACCCGACAGTTCTCTTTTAAATAAAATCGGATTTGTCCTTCATTGAGCTCATTTCTTAATTCATTTAAGTAAACCTTGACTTTGCCAACTATTTTCAGAAAAGTGATCCTGGTTGAGACTCTTCAAAGAATCTTAAATCCAGAGCCAGGGGGTGGGGGTGGGGGGGGATTGGAGAAAATAAAATCCACAGTCTTGTGAAAACCAAGGATTGTTTGGGAGGGTGATATGTTTAGGTGAATCAGTTCAAACAATGATTACAATTATCAAAATAAGTAGGCTGTTTGAACCTACCTAGTATTTAAGAATTCATCCACATTAGTCTTTTTTGGACGTTAACTGATAATGTAAATCAAGCAGATAGATGGATGGATACCCAGTCCTAGGGAAAAGTTTAAATAAGGGCTTCTGAAAGCTAAATGAGGTTTAAAAATACTTTTATTGAAGTAAAACAGGGAATTCCAAAGAGATTAGATACAAGGAGAGAGGATGGGAAATAACCACTATGTGCTAGATTTAATGCAAGATATTTATGTTTTGTCAATTAAAGAAGTGGTCCTAGGAAGTGAATATAACTATCTCTGATTACAGATCAAGAAACTAGGGCTCAGAAAAGTGAAGTTGCTTGTCTTTTGAGAGTCACAGTTGACAATTACAAAACTTGTGCTGTGTTTATCTCACACTGCCTCCTACTCTTGCTATGAAAAAGAGATCATGTTTAGTATTGACTCATTTTTGTAACTCAGTGAAGATGCATTTATATCAGAATCATTGCTTTGAACTCAATAAATATGAAATGTTTAACTTTATTCTTTAAATCTTAGTTTCTTTTGGTTTCTGTTTTCTGTAGTACTGGGAACTAAATCCAGGGCCTTGAGTCTGGTAGGCAAGTGCTTACCACTGAACCACACCCCAGCCCTAAATCTTAACTTTTTGCTTTTCACATTTTTTTGATACTATTCTGTTCCTTATTTTAAAAAATGGTATTTATGGAGAGACAGAGAAATGTACAATGTGATTAACAGAAAAAGAAATGGTACTTGAATGTGTGGGTACATGTAGACCAGTGTCCCACTCCCATACTGTCGGAAAAGTTCATTCATCAAAGGTCAGGCATTTGGAATAAAATTTCATTTTTCATAGAAACAATGATGAATATTAGTTAGGACCTGGTTTGATGCCCAGAAGCCTCTATAATTCCCAGTGTAGCTACCTTGTAGTTCTGGTACTAAACAAACTTTAAACATCTTTTAAAATAGCATTTCCACAAGGTAAAATTTTAGTGCACGTTCTATCACCACAAATGGAGCCTGTACCCACTTCTGTCTTCCTCTTTCTCCCCCCCAGCCTGGGCCTGTCAGAATCTTTCTGAGCTAGAAGTAGGGCGTATGTGGCTTGGGGATAGGGCCTGGGAAGGATTTGACTGGGTTTGAACTAGGTATCAAGAGGGAATAAGAAGGGATTTGGTGGCTGGAAATGGTACATCTTCATTCTCATCTCCTGTCCACAAAGTCTATTTCATAAAACAGCATGCAAGAAAGAAAATTAAAAGTCTAACTGGGCATGGTGGTGCATGCCTATAATCTCAGCAGCTCAGGAAGCTGAGGCAGGAGGATCGAAAGTTCAAAGCCAGCTTCAGCAATTTAGCAAGGTCCTGTCTCTCAATAAAATATACAAAAGGGCTGGGATGTGGCTCAGTGGTAGAATACCCCTGAGTTCAATTCCCAATACCCGCCCCCCAAAAAAGGAAGATTGGATACCAATCTAAACACAAAATCCACTTATGTTTCATATAAACCTCATATACATAGACTGAATGCAATTTTGTAGAATATTTCTAGTGTGCTTATGTGACCCCTCATATTGTTGGGGATGGAATATTCCTTGTGTCCTGACACTCAAAAGGTGTTAGGTTTTGGAGCGTTTCAGATTTTGATTTTCTAAGTAGAAATGCTTAAACTGTAAGACCAAAATGAAAAATGAAAAACAGCCACTTGATTGGAAAACTCCACTTCAATTCATGTGCCTTTCTTCTGAGTCCTGCCCCTTCGATGTCCTCAGCAGTCCAGTCTTTGTCCCTGGGTTTGCATATATCCCCTCAGAGCTCTTATTTGGATTGTTTTGCAAGTATTTTCAAAGAGGGAGCTTCAGTTGAGACTGCTGTGAAAGAAGGCTCCCAACTCACCTAGAAACCCAGGCTGAGGAAGTCACCAGAGTCAGGGGAAAGTGCTGTGGGGGCCATCCAAAATGATCCCTAGTTTCCAGACTTAACAGGGGTCAAGAAGGAATAAAGGAGGGCTGGGGTTGTGGCTCAGCGGTAGCGTGCTTGCCTAGCATACGTGAGGCACTGGGTTTGATTCTCAACACCGCATACAAATAAATAAAAATAAAGGTCCATCAACAAATTATATATATATATATATATATATATATATATATATATATATATANGTTGTGGCTCAGCGGTAGCGTGCTTGCCTAGCATACGTGAGGCACTGGGTTTGATTCTCAACACCGCATACAAATAAATAAAAATAAAGGTCCATAAAAAAAATATATATATATATATATATATATATATATATATATATATATAAAGAAGGAATAAAGGAAAACCCCTCTTGAAGAAAAAGAAAAATCTGATCATTGTATTACTCTGTTTTTCTTTAGGCAGTGCATGGGTTTATTTATTGTTAACAGTAATCACAAGACAAATAACATGGTGGACTTAAAGAATTGTTAACTGATTTCTGAAGCCAAAAAGACTGTTTTAATCAAATGTGCATCTTCAGTGGGATTTCAAATTTTAATCCTGAGGCAATACTTTAATGTTCCTGAAGTATATTTTCTATACGTACAAGTATGCAAATAACAGAAGTTCAAAATTAGTTGGAATTTCGAAAATATTAAAATTGCACTTGTAAAAAAGTGGATGTGCTCATATCCATTACTTAAGAAACACATCATGCTTACTGTGTCCTAGGCATGGTTCTAAATACTTAATAAGGAGACTCTTTTGATCCCTAAACAATAGGTATCATTGTCATCATTTTATAGATCAGGAAGCTAATGCACAGAAAACTGAATTGCTAAGATACACTTTAGAAATCAGTAAAATTATCAAAATGCTAATTTATTAAATTTTCCATCTCATTGCTTCTGTCCTGAAAGCAGCTTTCTTTGTCCACGCAGCTTGAACCTACAGATGCAGCCCCTTCATCTGAGATAAAACGCCCTGAGGGATGAATCTGGCATCTCTGACACTTGAGTTTCTGATCAATTAGGGAAATCTGTCTGGCAGCAAGTCTGTAAGTGATCTTGTAAATTATCTTTGTTAGATCCATTGATATAAGACATCACTTGCTGGTAAAGAAAGAATTTTCTTTGGAAACAAATTTATAACTTTTTATTAAGACAGAATTAAGATTAGTTGTTCTCATTAGCATATTGCAGTTCATTTTTCCTGGAAGCCAAAATAAAAAATAATAAAATCTGTTMTCCTGTTGAGTGTCTGCTGACTTGTCCAGCATCTCCCTAGAAACCTCACAGCTGTTACCTCAGTTGGCCACGTGGTCCAGTCAAATACTTCTGACTACTGATCTTTGGTCTGATGGCTTGAAGTTCCAGAATGACATCTGTCTGACTTGCTTCCAGAGGATGTCCTGAGAAGTTTCCTCTCAGGGCTGTACTTTCTGAGTCCCCAGCAGTTGCTATCGCCTCTGTGATGCAGTGGAAAGAGCTCGAGGTCTGGGATGGTAACATTTAGTTCTGCCAATTATTACCTGGACCTTGAACCAGAGAGCTCAGAGCTTCAGTTTTCTCAGCTCATAAATGTGTATAATAATGACCATTTTATAGGATCATTCCAAGGATAGTTATGAGAAGCTTTTTGCAGATGACAAAGGATTAAATGAATATTAGGTGTTATTGATACTAGTGATTGTGATTGTAAGTCAGCACTCAATGCCTACCCTCTCCTTTGCATTATCACCGTTTGAAGACACATCCCAACCCCGTAGTTTGTAGCAGAAGGGAAAAAGACTCAGTAAATAGCAACTGCTGAGGGCATAGGATTCTGGCTTAATGAGATGTTGGGAAAAGTCATAAAATTCAATTTCATTTTTTCAGGATTGCTTCATACAGAAAATGGATTGTTGCTCTGTGGTGAATATGGAAGATTTCTCAGAAAGAGGGCACCATCTTGTGGGCAGTGGAATGAACTGGCAGGAAAAAGCCAGAATTGCAGAGGGTTGCATAGCAATACTGCACATCTGCGACTGAGGTCCCACCTCCAGGGTCAGTACCCTTGGACAGAGGTGGGGCCCAGATCTGTACTCTTTAAGGCTCCCATGGGATTTTAATGTACAGCAGTTTTTTAACGAGGAGCTTTGCCTGTGACTGCACAGCCAGCAAGTGCAGAGGTCAAGGCCCACTGCTGGGCCTCCAGGCTTGGGGCCACTCACTCAACTGGGCTTCTTAGGACTATCAGCAMGAGTCTCTACAAAAGAGTTCAGCGTAGATAAACTTCCTATTTTTGTGTTGCCCTGTTTTACTTGGCCACTGGCCGGGAAGATACCATCAGCACTCCAGGTGCTGGACACCCCTTTACTAGTTTTTCAAAAACATGTATCCAGTATATTAGTTTGTAGAAATGTGTAAGCAAGGTCTCTGGCCTTGAGCTGGGGCTTCACAGAGATGTCTACATTTCTAAGATAAGAGAAAGTACCA